AACATGTCAGAGAACTGTTTACCTCTAAGGTATTGGAATTTTTGTTGTTTTCTACGCATTTCTCCTTGAAAAACTACACAAACGCCATTGGACTGAGTTTAAGACATACTTGTCTTCAGCTAGATTGTAGTTCAAGCAATGGCTGTGACTCACCCACATGGCTGACACTGACAAATGATCTATAAATTGTGGTACAGGGTTTCAGGATAAATCCTGAGGGGATTTGACTGATCTTATCAGATACAAAAGCCACATTTCTTGTTATATAGGTCTTGCTTTATCTTGGTCTAGTGTAAAGTGAATGATACTTAGCCAGGGTTTTATGCTAAAAGACTGAACTTGTTTTTTTTTTTTTTTTTTTTTTTTAATTATATTGCTGAAGTTTAGCACCAGAAAGACATTTCACTTTTATGTTTTTAAACAAAAGTAAGGCATATGTTTCAGGGTAGCTAATGTAGGCCTTGTATTACTTTGCTCATCCAAAATAACTGGTAACCATGTAAACATTCCGAGCCAGTCAACTGACCACATTAGCTCATCTCACATGAGGCATTACAAAATCAGGTTTTGGATGTTTATGGTTAGTTAATAGAAATGATGCAAGTTCTTTTGAACTTAACCACTAGTATTTGTTTTTCTGCGTTTAGTGTATAAACTTTTTAAAAGAAAAAAAATAAATTTTTGCTTAATAGCTTTTGCCTGATACATTACTTTCAAGCTAAAACTATTTTACTTTCACTGCTTTTAAGAGGTTTTTTTTTTCTTCGTTACTGATTTTTAGCAATTTGTCCTGTAATTAAAAAAGGGTAGGTTTCTCTATAGATCTTCTGCTTGGAATTCACTGAGCTTGTTGGATCTAAATTTAAGGTTTTCTTCACATATGAAAATTGTCCAGCCCTTATTTTATTTTATTTTTCCTGTGCCTCCTTCCTCTTGTTTTGTGCCCTGGTAACGCGTATGTTAGATTGCTTAATTTTGCCCCACAGGTGTTGAGGCTCTGTTCTACTCCCTAGTCTTTTTCTCTCTGAATCATTTTACATTGTTTGTATTGCTGTGTCTTCAGGTACTCTGGTGTTTTCTTTTGCCAAATCTGATCTACTGTTACTTCAATCAGAATACCCCTCATTCAGGTATATCTTGAGTGATATCATTTCTAGTCTGTATCTGTTGGCTTTTCTGCTTCTTTGAGTCATATTTTGTTTCTTTGATAATTTTTGATAGGATCCCAGACATTTTAAATTGTATTTATAGAGTGTTGGACTTTTAGAAAAACCTTGTAAATAATGTTGGTCTTTTTTCTGACATGTAGTTGTTACAAGTTATTTGGATAAATGTAAGCCAGTATTTGCAACCAAAGTGAGTACTGTCTTGACTAAGTAAATCTTTTAAATTTATTATTGTTATTATGATTTTTAATTATTTGGCACAGGGTCTTACTGCACAGCTCAGATTCGTAGTGATCTTCCTGTTTTCAGCCTCCCCAGGGATTACAGGTGTGCACCACCACACTGTGTCTCAGTTACCAGCTCAGCGCGCCTGTGAGCAGGGCCGGCATTGCATATGGTGTCGGTGATTGAACACTGGTCCTGAGTAATCTTAAGAAGGTACAAAATATGTACCTTTACCATCATGTAATACCTAAAATTCATGTTAACTGTAACTGGTGCCTGGTAGCACTACATGACATTTTTCTAGCTCATTTTCTATGATGCATAGTGAATAAGGAAGTATGAAATGTATTATGCTGCCTTATTTTAATGTTCTTATTTTGATGTTCATTTTATTGTCAATGTGAAATTATAAAGACTTAAGATAGATGACTCCTGGCTTTGTAATAGAAGGCAGAGCTGAAGATAGCAATGTATAATAGAAGGGTCACGCTTGGTATAGCTGTCATTCTGGTCTTCTAAATACATACTTCTTGTCATGACATACCAATTATTACCATATTGTCTCACAAGTAAAAGTTGTTGTTGTTTTTTAATGAGCAGAATATATTTATTGAGAGAAAGAAAGCTCCTGTCCTGAGAGAGGGACAGGAGGAGGGCCTCAGCAGGTAGTTCCCCCACCTTTTTTTTTTAAATGGGCAATAAATGAAAAAAAGACACAAGAAGAAAAAGAAAAAAAAAATGTCACAGGACCGTCCTACAGTGCTGTATATGGTTAGATTTCTAAATTTCTGTGTAAAAATTTATAAATGTTTATTCATATTCTTTAAATATTTTTCATCTTTTAAATTTTTATCTCCATATTCTGTAGGGACTTAATGTTTAACATGTCAATACTTGATGGAAAATACCTGTTCCATGTTATGCCTAAGATGTTTGATATTCAGACAGATAGTGAAGTTAAACCCAACAGCATAAGATGGAGAGTAATAATAAGCTTCTATTCTGGAGGGTTAACAACCTAAGTTTGCAGATCAAAAATTAGAGAAATAGGAGGGCTACAAGGACAGCCAACATTTTGACCCTAGCCTTTCAAGGTCATGCAGACTCAGGACATAGGAGAACCTATAGTGTAACATCATGTAACTCAGTTGTGTCCCAATTTTCTGATCAAGGAGATTATGGGGCCACAGAGGAAAGTGATCTATGATGTAGAGTGTGCCTAAGGAGAGTCACATGGAGAGAAAACATTCTCTCAGGATTTCACAGAGAGCAAATTGGTCAAGCAATGGCTGTGACTCATCCACATGGCTGACACTGACAAAGGATCTGCAAACTGCGGTACAGAGTTACAGGATAAATCCTGAGGATACTTGACTGACTTTATCAGATACAAAAGTTACATTTCTTGTTATACAGGTCTTGCTTTATCTTGGTCTTAACCATCCAGCAGAAAAGTATAAAAATGAAGTATATAAAATAAAGCCATATTAATATGCTGAGCTGTGAAAGGCTCAAGTCAACCACTTCTGTGGATAACCCACTACTGTTGTGGACTGCTGGACTGTGTTGGATTGTTTTGCTGAATTCACACACCTGTAGTATTTAGATGCCAATGGAATACCTGACAGGACGAAACAAAAAAAGGGGATACAAAGGAAGGACCATTTTGTGTCTGTATATGCAGAATAGTTAGGATAGATGTACAGCTACTTTCGCTTAATTCAATGAGAAGACAGATTTGTACTAATAGTGTTTGGACAGGATATTCTGTCTGCATCTTGTACTACAGATAACCACTAAGAAGATAACAATGTACAATGTATTAATTATTGAAACCGTCCTATTAATCAGTTTTGAAACTGTCTCATTGATACTTGTTTCTCAATAAAATAAAATAAGTAATTGGCAGATTTGGAAATAAGAGATTGTCAACTTTTGTGGAATTAGTGTAAGTGTTTGTTCTTCTACTTCTATTTGAGGAATGCACCCAACTAAATTTTTGCATGTGTGGGGAAATACTTTGTTTTACATTTGGAGGACAACACAACACACATCTCTTTCTGTTTCTCCAAACTAAACTCTTAGAAAGTTATTTATTTTATATGTGCTTTTTAGACTTTTTCAAAGACATTTTTTTCTGTTTAAAGCATGGGTTTGGTTTTTTGATAGGTTTATTAAATGAAAGTACTAATTTATTTGTAAATACCAACTCCACTTGTCCTTTTATATCATTATTATCCTCAAGCCAAGGGGCTTGCCATTTACATTACTGAGGCTTGACATTGTGAAGGGTTTTTTGTTTGTTTTTGTATGTGTGATATTGTTAATCCCTCTTCATAAAATGCTTTTCCACTTTCACTTTATATTACCTGAATTCATTCATCAGCACACTACTGCAGAACACTAATAAAACAAACCATTTTATGTTTTGCATAACCATTTAGTCCCATTATTATGACTTTTTAAAAAGTCCTCACCAGTGAATTTCCTGAAACATTTCTGAATCCAGACCTTATAAATTGTAAGTTACTCTATTTATTAATTTTAGAAAGATTCTGGATTGTATGCTTCACCCACCTGGGAAGTCTAAACTTGGCTTTGGCTCTTATGTTCACATTCCTGCTGTTCCAGCGACATGTTGTGAATGGGTTTTATTTTATAGGAGTCCGTTTTTCTGTTTATCCTGCTATGCTTGCTGTCTAGCTTGATGCATTTAATTGACCAAATATTCGTGCTATAGTTTTCTAGTATGTTAATGTATGAAATATGTTATTGTAGAAAAACAGTATTTGTGAGCACTATACTAGACAGCATTATTGAAACAAACAAAATCTTGCCTTACCATTTGTTTTAACTATATTAGTGGGAAAATAAAGAAAAACAAAAATTTGAAAGTCTTGTATTTTAAGGAATTTTAAAGATGTTAATAGTGTTATAATGATAGCTAGTCCTATAACCTGCTGGAGACTTCCCTTGTCACTTGGCAGATAAGCCAGGAACAGGTGGGCACAGTAATGTTTAAGTCCTATTATATGAGTAGTATTGGTCATTTAGTGAACCTTCATTGTAGTCTAATGAATTACTGGACTTAAGATTCACAGGAGTGGAGTCCTAAGTATTTATTAATCCTTACTTTGTGTGTCCAGAAGTCACTTGTATAACCAAAATTTGAATATAAAAGTCTGTCAATAGCTTCACAAAGCCTAATATATTAATCATTCCTGAGACATTGCTGTTAACTATTGAAATACATGGAAAAGAAAGAGTTGGCACTAGAGTTAGGTGCTTTAATCAGCCATATCAACTTTATTATAGTGACTATAGAAGACACAGATATTAGAAATATTAAGGTATACTATTGTATGGCTTTATAATATGCTTAACTAGGGAATAAGGAAATAGGTACATGCTTTTAAAAACTACATCTGCTAGTGGTTTAGCTTGTTTTAGTTAGCTTCTAGGATATGTAACTTACGTGTCTTAATTGTATGCAATACAAAAAAGTTAGTCTTTGACATCTGAAAAATTTTTTAAAAATAAATTTTAGAGCTATAAATTTGTATAGTTCTGCAGAACTTCTGGTTTTCTTTTTTCTTTTTTTTTTTTTTGCCTATTTCAACAACTTTATTGAAAACATTTTGTAAGGAAGATTTTACAATTTAACATATTACAAATTAGAAATTCATCTGCTATTACCTAAGTTTCAAAATTTTCAAAAACACTACAGAAAATCTTTTATTTCTTTGGATTTTTCAGTTCCAGTCTGAGCTCCTGAGATACATTTTTTCTTTCAGCTTCATTTTCATCTTCCTTAGAAGATGAAGAATCACACTCTTGACATATCCATCCATAGCCTGTTTGTTTAGGAGACTTTTTCACAGGAGGATCCAAGCAGCCAAAGTGGTAGCAAAGTCTGCACTCATCACACCTGACAAGATTCTCATTGTCTCCTGTTCCTTTGCACGTTGCACATTCGGTTCTTAAGTCTTCAGCCTTGGGCTTCTTCTGTAATACAGACTGTCTTTGTCTTCTCTCTCTAGGAACTCTCTCCTCATGTTTTTCTTCCTCAGGAACAAAGCTTCGTTTCCGACCTCTGGTTCTCTTGTTTCTTACTGGAATCTTCTTGGGCTCTGGGGGCACATCCTGTGGAACAAACTTCACTGGCTCCTTAATCTGCCTCCGGGACCGCTTAGTCCCATCCGGTAAAGTCTCCATGGCCATGTCTGCTTCCATGTCACTGCTGCCAGCCTGGTCGCATTCGGAGCACTGCCAATAACTATTCTTGGTCTTTCTTGGCATCCTTGTAAGAGGAGGATCCAGACAGCCAAGATGATAATGGAGTTTACACGTGTCACACAACAAAAGAAGTTGCTGATCATGGTTCTTACAAATTCCACAACTATAAAGCACTGTAGGAAGAGCAGATGTCTTTTGTGTACCTCCTTCTTTTTTGCTTGGTTTTCTCTCCTTGGGTGCTCGCAAAATTGCAGGTCTATTCAACTTCTGCCCTGTAATTCTACCCAGTAAGGCCCATATTCCTTGCCCTTCACTTCGAAGTTTCCCATTCAAGTTTTGTAGTTCTTCTAAAGATTCATACAGCTTATTATATTCCACATGAAGCTTTTCTTGCTCATTCTCTAATTTATCCTTTATATTCTTTTGCTCTGCCATATTTTCCTGAATTTGAATCATGCGCATATTTCTCTCAAAATAATAATTCACAAAATCAGCAGTGAGAGCTGGCTGCTTGTGCTTCCTCCTTCCATCCACACTAGAGCTAGTATCTGAATTGTCCACTGGGAAGATATCTGTACTGATCCCCATTAGTTCTGCTTTCCGCATCAGTTTACGAATAGCTGAAGCACTACTAGTGAGTGGTCTGGGCAATTTTTCCCTTGGAACCCAGGCTTGGGGTCTGGTGGATCGAGCTAGTTCTGCCTTGGCACGATATTGCTGAAGCCGAGCATTGATCCTTGCCTGGGCTTCTGGTGAGAGCTGCTTCTCTCTCTCTTGCAAAGACATTTTACAGTAGGACTGCAGAGCCAAGTAGTTTTTTCTCTTCCACTTTCTGTCCAAACGATCTGCATGTTGCTTACAATAAGCAAAAAATGGATCTGCTATATCCTCTTCTGCTGCTGCCTCTGAAAGCAAACCTTCTTTCTGGGCACAGGTCACATGAAAATAGGCTCTGCACATCCCTGCATCACAGCTAATGCAAACGCCAGTCCTAGCAAAGCGGGGGTCTTCACAAAAGCTACATTCCTTTGCACCATATTTGGAATAGTTCATTTCTGTTAGTGTTACTGGTCGTAATTTGTCAATATCTCCAAAGGCTACTCCAGGCACATAGAGGGCACAGACATTGTGAACCCATCTTCCAGCATCTGTCTCCTTGAAGATGCCGTCCTGGTTAGGACACAGCTCACAGCTGGGGGAAACGCCACATTTACAAGCGTCACAGAACCAAGGCTCGGTGGAGTTTTCAGAAGCTGAACTCATAATAGAGTCACTCTCTCCATCAACCCCATAACAACCTTCGTGAACTGTAATGCCACAATTGTCACACTGAATGATTTCATCAGCATCCTCACTGTTATCTCCAAGACACACACAGCAAATCAGAATATGGTCCATTTTTTGGGAACTCCAGTTTTGACTCTTCTCAAGAATCAGCGAGTCCTCATTGCTCTTGCTCTGAGATAGTATGAGGCTATCATTGGTTAGCTCCTCATCATCAGCACTGTTTCTGCTAAGTACTTTACTCTTCTTCTTCTTGCAGCCCGCTTCACTAGCAGGACTGCTGTGGGCTTTGTCATGGCCTTCATCATTCTCGTCCTCCCCGCTCCCACTCCCCTCATCCTCATCTTCCTCATTATCCCCATCGCTGCCCTCTTTCTGGGACGCTGATCTCCCTTTCCTCTTCACCACAGTGGGCCGCCAGTCATTGTCATCCTCACTGTCATAGTCGTCCATGTCATTCAGCTCTTCCATGGACAC